TAGTGGTTAAATAATGGACTAAATAAAATGTTTATTCTGTTAGATCCATTCTCTATAGAAAAGGAAGGTGATAACTTGATCTAAGAATCTTAATACTTGCAAAACATTCCAAGGATTTGGAAATAGTTAAATATTTAAGTTAATATCTTTATATAAAGAGTATAATAAATATAAAAATAATATTAAATTCTAAGAATAACATTTTTTTTATTTTGTTTTGGTATGAAAATAAATGTCACATAAGAAAATAATATGTGCATGCTGATAATGAAAATTATAAACCTTTTATATACGTTGTCCAAGAAGTATTTATACTCCTTAAACCTTATCCTTATACTTGAGGAAGGGGGTTAGAAAATCATTTCATATTTATAACATTAATGAAAGATAAATGTCTTTTACATAAAAATTAATGAGGGATAAATACCCTTATATATGTATTAATAAGATTAAAATATAGCAAGCCATGAAAGATACCTAGATGTGTAAATAAAGTAGGATCTAGGCTAAAAAACTTGGGTTAGTAAAAAATCTTAGGGGTCTAAGTGTTGGGTTTAGACCACAAGGCAATGTCTAGGTAGAGTTAGGTATGCATCTCATGGTTGGTGCAAGTGAGGTGCTTGAACTCACGAGTGTTAGGTGTGCTGTTTAGCGCTTATGTTTAAGTGTGTTTTCTATATCCAAGGACACTAGGTTGCATGCCTAGCATTTGAGTTGAGGTGCATTGCTTGTGCAAGGTCTCATGCCTTGCGTTTAGGTCCAAAACTTGTTTTTTAAGACCTTTAGGATTGAACTAATGAAAAGTTGTTTACAAAGTATTAATAAATCCTGGTGCATAATAACATTAAGTCTTTGTGCTAAAAAATACATAATTTTTTTTTATTTTGATACCTCTTATATGATATCTAATATCATCTCTACTAATATTTCTCATATTACATAATACATAATTAATAAAAACCTTAACTCTATTACAATAATTTATCATGTGCAATCTTTCAAGTAAAATTCAATACATCCAAAAATAATTATTTATTACTTATACCAAACACATATAGAATACTGAAGACAACATGAATTAATTATTTATTATAACAAAAACTAAAATGCATTAGTCTTTTACTGTCATAAAAATAATGTACATTCTCTCGTAATTCATTGTGGATTAAAACAATGTATTTTTTTGATAATTTTCATTTTGGTCTTTGAACTTTTCTTTTGTGTGATTTAACCTATTTGAATCCAAATTAGCCTATAATTACATATTTTTTTAGGAGGGAGGATTGAATTAAAAGCTAAAGGACTGAAGTAAAACTCTTAGGTAACATGAGGGGTGGGTTGCAAGTTTTATTGTAACATTCATTTTAGTCCTCTATATTTTTTAGATATTAGGTGATCAATTCCTTGAATTTCAAGACAATGCATTTTGGTACCTAACTTCATTTTTTTTTTCCAATCCTTTTATGTTGGAAGGAAAGAGAGGGAGTCGCTGAATTCTAGCCTAGAAAGAGAAAATGGCAATTAAGGAAGATTCCGGGCACCAAAACAATTGATTTTTGTGTCAAAAGGTTCCAAGATAAAGGGGGTTATGTTAGATTTTTTTAATTACTTTGAAAACACCTAAAGCAAGAATTCTAAGCTTGAGAAGAATTTTTATTTTGGATGGATTTTAGATTTTAGGGCAGTTTTTGTGTGTGTTGGTTTTTATTATAAACTTTATATGTTTTTTTATTACAAATTTATTTTGATAGAGGAATTCATTAAATATAACCATGTAAATTACCAATGTTGAAATATTAGATATCTTGATCTTTATTTGTCTCTTGATTTTCTCAATTTCATTTTTGTTTCTTGTTGATGTATTTTTTTCATTACTTTATACAATGATTATTAGATTGTTTAATTAGATGTGTGCATAAGTTTTTCGATTTATATCTATAAGTTCTTTCGCTATATATATGTATATGCTGAATCTTGTGGAGAAAACTATTTAGCCAATGTTTACTCAAAAAAGTTTAAAGGCTTTAAGTACTCTTAGGTTGTTTTTTCTTGAGAGGGAATTTATCTTTTAAGGCTGGTGTTTGAGGTATATACCATGCTCATTTTATATATTAGGTCTAGATATATAGATGAATATATAAAATATTTTTTCAGATACTTAATTAAGTTATTCAAGTTCTTGTAGCAACAAAAAGTTGACAAGCATTTGTTACTCTTTAATGACCAATAGTTGCTCGTACTTCACTTCTCACCTAAAAGTTAGGCTTCCATAATCTTATTATTAATCATGCCACTTTTTTTTTTGAGTTGGTCAAATAATACTTATGTTATATTAATATATTTTTACATTTTATAATTTGATTCTTATATGAAATTCAAGTCAATTTAAACAAGTTCTTTATATGTTATTTATTTGTTGTTTAAAAGTCAAATCATATACCTTTTAATGTTATCTGTTCTTAATTGCATGCTTAAAAAGCTCTTTTTTTTTTAATTGTCTTACAATTAAAAGTAGCACGCGTTTCTAAAAGTAGCCCACGACAATGCATGAATAACTTATCTAGTATGAACTACATAAATTAGCTAATATTGGTTTAACTCAAATTTATTTAATTTATTTTAATAGCACCTTTAAATGATTATCAATTTTCTACAAAATAAATCTCGCCATATATATTGAAATTTTCAACTTAACAATAAAATTGATAAAATATAAAACATACCTATTAAATAAGACATTATTTATTTCATTAGAAAACATCTTAGTTTCAAAATTAAAATTAATTTCATTAAATTACAAACAAATATAATTTTTTAAAATCTTAAAAAACCATAATATTTACAAATCATACATTTATACAACAAATTTCTATGAGAAAGAGTTATAAAACAGGTAAACACACAAACAAACTACGTATACTATATCAAAATGTCAAAAAATTAACATTTTAAAAAATTAGTAATAAAAAAGGTAGTTTTACTTACTTGACGTAGGGAATTCTAGAAAAAAGCTAACCACAACAGGGATGTTGATAGACTGAGTGTTGGAATAACTGAATTTGTGGTGATGAGAGTTTGATTTGTGATGAGAGTTTGATTTGTGATGAAATAAAAGAGATTTCTATTATTCGCATAGAAGAAGAAGAAGAAAAAGAAGAAGATCGGGGGAGGTTGCTAAATCATAACTTAAATAATATCAATGAATATTAACGATGAGTTTATTTCATTGCTAAAACCATCTGTAACAATGATTATTCTTTTTATTCCTTCTTTTTATATTGTAATTCCCTGGTATACACCAAAGAAAAATTTATGTCAGTATACACTAGAGGTGAATATTTTCGGTTCGGTTTTTACCTATATACACAACCAAATTGAAATTTTGTAAAATATATAAAAAAACTAAAACCAAACTGAAGTGACTGATTTGGTTTGGTTTGGTTATTTTAAATTAAAAACCAAAACCTAACTGACCAGTTTCAATTCGGTTTGATTATTTTATATTAAAAACTGAAAATTATATTGTCTTCTGGGCATTTTTTAGAGCTTCTAATAGGTTCTTTTTGGTTCAGTTTGATTTTTTCGGTTTGGTTTATTTCTTATATAAACTAGATCGATTCGATCAGTTTTTTGATTTCAAAATTATGAAATCGAAACCAATTTGAATTGATTTTTTAAATATTCTAATCAATTTAATTAATTTTTTTTATGATTGGATTGTTTTGATTTTCTAAATTTAATTAGTTTGTTGGTTTTTTTGCTCACCTCTAATGTATAACACTGAGGACATAATGAGATAATATTTTGTTTGTAAATTTTATTTATTGATGGGATTGTTTCTGTTAATATTTCTATTTTTATTTATCAATTTTTAATTGTGAGCCACAAGTTTATGAGAAACATGAGAGGTTTTTCTGGCCTTTAAAAAGAATCCCTTCAAATATTTTTGGAAATTTTTTAATATAAAATATTTCTATTTATATTTATCAATTTTTGATTGTGAGCCACATGTTTATGAGAAACATGAGAGGTTTTTGGCTTTAAAAAGAATTCCTTCAAATATTTTTGAAAATTTTTTAATATAATATTTTTTTAATATATTTTTAAATAAAAAATATTTTTTTAAAACAATATTTACCATAATACCAATCACTATTACTACCGACAGCATCAACACTGGCCTTTCGATTTTTCTTATCCGCGGCCCCATCAGAATCAATTTAACCGCATGCAGAGCCAGCTGAGGTGCTCTTTGAGGGGCAGCAGACAGATGTCTGTAACTGTCCAGAAACTCCTGATGTTGCTTCAGTGCCACTTGAGGAGCTGCATGCTGTTCGCATACCTGAATCCACCGTTCCTTAAAACCTGTGGCCTGATAAGAATTATATATAAGCCCCAATGGGGAACGAAGAGCACCAAACTTGTTGGGCTCTGGGGCACCCACCACCTTCTAGACAACATACATCTGATTTTATTTTATTTTGCAAAATAATAAGATTTTGGTAATAAAAAGAAATTGGTTCAGTCCACCTGTCACCCTATCATTCCTCAACCATTAAATTGAACGTAGAAAGAATTGGTATTAAGTAAGAATTTCACCATACATGGGCACAAGAAAATATTTTCTACGAGTAAAATATCAACTCCATGGAAAACCCATTTTTCCTTGCTTAGACCAGTATGCTAGCACCAAACACAGCCCAACTCTTAGCTACAACTTCAACAAGATATGTTCCTACACACTTGGCACACGTTTATAGGTTCCAAACTGTCATGCCAGCAAGTAAAATCTAGAAAGATGACGATCCATAATTAAATTAACTCTTTACAGTGACAAACTTGCACAGTACGTAGAACGAGTGAAAAAGGGTTCTGATGGCAGGGAAGCGATGAGGCAAGTTATAAAGAAAGAGAAAAATGAGAGGCCTGAAATGGTTTACCTTACATTCTAGTGCTACGCTCGCTTGTGTACAAGAAAGAACTTGGCTTACCTTATCCTATCCACCTCTCAAGCCCTCTCTCTCTCTCTCTCTCTTTATATCCTCTTCCCAGTAGCAGTCTCTCTCGTTCTCTCATATTCTCCTTAATTAGCCCATGTCCCAAGTTTTCCTTTCACTTTAAGATTTTATTATGCTCACCAATATCCTACACAAACTTCAATTCAGTTCCCTCTCTTTTCTTCTACTCTATCTGTCCCCATCCTTCTCCTCACCATATAAAAGCAGCTTCTTGCTTGAGCTATGAACTGGTTACGCATGCTTGCTAGCTAGCTTATCTCCCCTCCTTTAATTATCCCTCTGTTTATTAAAAAAGAATAAGAAATCTTGCACTTTTGCATTATTATTTTGTTTTCTTGGTGCTTACTGTCCTTGCTACACATATATTTGTTTCTTAATTCCTTGGGGTTTTTTCTTATGAGTGTTCGACGAAAGATTCTGTAATTTTTTTTTCCATGCAGAGAAGTTTAGTCGATAAATTCAATCTGGGATATAGTTTTTATCGTCAATTGAAGGAGTAGTTCTTATATAACCAATCAAAACATATTTCTTTTCCTTCATTCGCAACAACGATATGGCTCCCAAGACTGGAAAGGCCAAGCCTCATAAAGCTAAAGGAGAGAAAAAGAAGAAGGAAGAAAAAGGTTTATTAATTCTATCATATATATATATTCATTGCATCAGTCATCATATTACTTTCTTCTTCTTCTTCTTCTTCTTCTCTATATATCTACATGTATATTTCCTTTCCACTTCCATGTCTTTTCTCTTTTCAAAAGTGAAAATCCAACTCTTATGCGTGCGTGTGTTATGCTCAATGGCTATCTTTTTATCTTATTGACTTTATTATAAGATCGAAAATGTATGGCTCACAAATTTTCTTTTCCATTTTCTTATCCTTTCTGCAACCAATTGGACCTTTTAGCTAGATTGCTTAGATAAAAACATTCTGTGTGTGTATGCATATGATATGAATGCGAGCAAGTCGATGGACTGAATTATTGTCATTTATTTATTTATTTTGAGAATGCTGAATCTGGGTCTTGCTGATTTTGTATGGAATGTACAGTTTTGCCTACTGTCATAGAAGTCACCGTTGAAACGCCGGACGATTCTCAAGTGTCTCTCAAGGTAAATGTACTTTCCTAGCTAGTATTCCCTCCCTGTCGTTATAGTTTTTCTTCATTAATTCCAAAACTCAACCCTTTGAACTACTTTTCTTAACTGGTGATATTAGCATAAGATTTAAGAGTTTAAGTTTTAGAAATTTTGGAGTTAATACTTTCATAGTTTTTTTGTTGTTGAGTTTTTAATTAAATAATATAAAAATTAAAGAAAAAACTGTTCAAAATTAATTAAGTTATATTGACTTTAAGAATAATATATCTCTATTGATCCAAAAAAAATATAATTTCTTTTGTCAAATTAATTATTAATTTTTTTCTGCTTTTTCATATTTGTTTTGTTGTTTTTGGTAGGTATATATTTCGATAGTACTCCTGTTTTATTATTATACATTTTCTATTTTTTCTGCTTGGTTTGTAAGGCCTTTTTTTTGTTCCATATATTTGTAGGGCATCTCCACGGACAGGATCTTGGATGTAAGAAAGCTTTTGGGTGTGAATGTCGAGACATGCCACTTGACCAATTTCTCCTTATCTCACGAGGTAACTAGCCCTTCTATTTTAATTAATTTACACTCTTAACCCCACACTAATTTTTTTTTGTGAATTTTTAACTTTAAATTCATTTTTTTAGGTATTTTTAATTAATATAAAAAATATATATTTTTTAAAATGTTTTAATATATTAAAAAAAAAACAATAATTGGAGTGCTAACGGCTCTTTTTCCCTCAAACTCATTGACTCCTACCACACTCACAGGTGCGGGGACCCAGACTCAAAGATTCAGTGGACATCATCTTGCTCAAACCCTGCCACCTCACCATTACAGAAGGTAAGCTTCTCATATCAACGGTCAAAAATTCAACACCCACTCTATCTCACTAAGCACCACCAACAGCGTACTGCTACCCAAACAACCCCGATTTGTTGCTTAACGAGAATTCAAAATTTCTGTTGCAGAGGACTACACAGAAGAACAATCCATAGCTCACATCCACCGACTCCTCGACATCGTCGCCTGCACCACCTCATTTGGCGCCTCTTCCACTTCTCCGACAAAAACACCGGGTCGAACCGGAGGTTCAAAGGAGTCTTGTTCGACTGAGACGGGCGGAGATAACAAGAAAATCGTGAACAAGAGTGGCAAGGATGCTTGTACGGACGCGATGGAGAAAGCGGATGCGGCTGTTTCCATGTGCCCGCCGCCACGGCTTGGCCAGTTTTATGAATTCTTCTCTTTCTCGCACCTCACGCCGCCGGTTCAATGTCAGCTTTCATTTTCATTATAATAATAACAACTACAATTATGCAAAAACATACGATTTTTTAATATAATTTTTTTTTTGAATTTTGTTGATTTCAGATATCAGGAGATCGAGTCGTCCTTTCCTTGAAGATAAAACGGAAGATGATTTCTTCCAGATAGACGTGAGAGTTTTTGCTTTTTATGAATAGTATGATTTTTAGTGGTTTTGGTTTAAAATTAAGGAATATTTTTGGAAATGGAAAAATTCAGGTTAGGGTTTGCAGTGGGAAGCCAATGACAATTGTGGCTTCGCGAAAAGGATTTTATCCAGCTGGAAAACGCCTTCTTCTTTGCCACTCTTTGGTTAGTTTGTTGCAGCAGATTAGCAGAGTTTTTGATTCTGTAAGTTCTAATTCCAAACTGACATGTCGTTTGTGTGTTTTCGCTTTATTTTTACTATGAAAATCAAAGTTAGTCACTGGTGGTGTTTTTGAAGCCATAATTTTTTGTTTTAGGCATACAAAGCTCTTATGAAAGCTTTCACTGAGCATAATAAAGTAAGCCTTCCCTTCTCTTTAGCTCTTAGGTTTTAATATGACTATAAGAGATGTTTGATTGTTAATTTTGTATTTTATGTTAATTGTTTGTTTCAGTTTGGTAACCTTCCTTATGGTTTTCGAGCGAACTCGTGGGTTGTTCCACCGCTTGTTGCTGATAATCCTTCTGTTTTTCCTCCACTTCCTGTGGAGGATGAGAATTGGGGAGGTAATGGGGGAGGGCAAGGAAGAGATGGGAAACATGATGACAGGCCATGGGCGAAGGAGTTTGCGATTTTGGCAACAATGCCTTGTAAAACAGCAGAAGAAAGGCAAATTCGGGACCGGAAAGCCTTTCTACTCCATAGTTTATTTGTCGATGTTTCTGTTTTTAAAGCTGTTGCAGCAATCAAAAGTATCATTGAAAATCAGTGCTTTTTAAGTGATACTGTGAAGTCGTTTTTGCATGAGGAAAGAGTTGGAGATTTGATTATTATCATTACGAGAGATGTGTCAGATGCTAGCTCCAAGTTGGATTATAAAAATGATGGGTGTCAGGTTCTTGGAGTGTCACAGGAAGAACTAGCTCGGAGAAATTTACTTAAGGGAATAACTGCTGATGAAAGTGCAACTGTTCATGTGAGTAGTCTAATTGCTACATTTGCTCATTATGTTTTTCCTGAAGTAGTTGTATGAGTTGCTGAAGTGGACTTATGATCTTGTAGGATACTCCCACTTTAGGTGTAGTGGTTGTTCGACATTGTGGCTTCACAGCTGTTGTTAAAGTTTCTTCTGAGGTGAACTGCGAAGGGGATCCTATTCCCCAGGACATTTCCATTGAGGATCACCCTGAAGGAGGCGCCAATGCCTTAAATGTTAATAGGTCAGTTCTTTTCAAACGCTTTATTGCTGTTGAGGACACGCATTTATTCATGTTTTAGTCCTAATGAACTGCTTATTTGTTGAATCCTCGTAAATCAGATCAGTTTTCTCTTAACTCTTCTCTGTTTCTTAATGACACATGGATATGTGTATGCAATTGTACTCAAACAGACCCACTATCCAGAGAAATTACGCTTCGATGGCTTATAATAAAATCCATTGTTCCATAAGAGCATCCTCAGTTGTTAATTGTCATTTTCTTTAAATTACTTTTCAGCATGAGGATGCTATTGCATAAGTCATCGACACCCCAGTCATCCAATACACTCCAGCGACTACAAGGTGGAGATCTCGAAAGTTTACACTCTGCCAGGTCTTTGGTGAGGAAAATACTAGAGGATAGTTTGTTGAAGCTACAGGAAGAATCCAGTAGATACACGAAATCTATCAGATGGGAGCTAGGAGCATGTTGGGTTCAACATTTGCAAAATCAAGCTGCGGGGAAAACTGAGGCTAAGAAAAATGAAGAAACTAATCCTGAGCCTGCTGTCAAGGGGCTTGGAAAGCAAGGTGCATTGTTAAGGGAGATAAAGAAGAAAACTGATGTCAAAACCGGCAAAACTGAAGAGGGAAAGGATGTTTATGCTGGTAACAACCTTGACATGAGCAAGAAACCTGATAGCACTAATCAGGAGGAATTGGAGAAAAAAGATGAGGAAATGAAAGTTATATGGAAAAAGCTGCTTCCTGAAGCAGCATATCTGCGACTTAGAGAATCAGAAACCCGTCTTCACCTCAAGGTTTGTTTACTAATTGCCAAGGAGAAAATCCATCTGCTTAATTTTGTTCTGTGTATTTTTCTAGACTTAAATAACTAACTCATTTCTTCAAGAGTTGATCTTCAGGGAGTCTTGAACTTCTATATTTACTTGCTTATATTTAATGCTAAATATTTAACATTAATTATTTATAATTATCATTGTGATAATTGCTTATTTATCTTGTTGAGAAGAGGAACCTCCAGTATTCTGATTTTATCAATCAATCATATTCAAATTCATATTTGCTGTGGTTATGTTGATTTTGCAGACACCTGATGAGTTGATTGAAATGGCATATAAATACTATGCTGACACTGCTCTTCCAAAACTGGTTAGTTTTTTGATAATTGACATTTCTTTTTTGAATCCTGAGATGTTTCAGTGTTAACATGAGTGTTTCATGTGGCTTCAATATCTTAGGTGGCAGATTTTGGCTCCCTGGAACTTTCACCAGTTGATGGAAGAACATTGACAGATTTTATGCATACACGGGGTTTGCAGATGCGTTCTTTGGGGCGCGTGGTAATTTACTTTTTGTGAAAGTTCTGTCTTGTTATTTTCTATTCCAAACAATAAAATCTTTTGTTAATGCTATCAGAGCTGGCTTATCTATGTAGCTGGATTCAGAAGCTTTATTATTTTTTTCTTTTCTTCTATCATTCTAGGTTGAACTTGCAGACAAGCTCCCTCACGTGCAATCACTATGTATACATGAAATGATTGTCCGAGCCTACAAGCACATTTTACAAGCTGTTGTGGCATCAGTTAATGATGTTGCTGACTTGGCTGCTTGCATTGCATCATGTCTAAATATATTGTTAGGAACGCCTTCAACTGAAACTGAGGACTCAGATATCATAAATGATGAGAAACTAAAGTGTAAGTGGGTGGAAACCTTCGTTGGAAAGAGGTTTGGGTGGCAGTGGAAGCATGAGAGCTACCAGGATCTGAGAAAGTTTGCCATTCTTCGTGGACTGTCCCACAAGGTTTGAATATATGACCCTTCTGCTACTGCTTGAGAGGCCTCACAGTGCGTATAATAATCCATCTTAAGTTTACAAGTGAAGTCATCTTCTGTCAGGTTGGCCTTGAGCTTCTTCCCAGGGACTATGATATGGACAATGCTTCTCCTTTCAAGAGGTCTGATATTATAAGCATGGTCCCCGTATACAAGGTAAAGATACTAGTAACTAGTTTTAAAACTTTCATTTTTCTTGTAGTATCTGACAATATACTTCTCCTATAGCATGTTGCATGTTCATCTGCGGATGGACGTACCCTGCTAGAATCATCCAAAACTTCCTTAGATAAAGGTAAATTGGAGGATGCTGTAAACTATGGAACTAAGGTACATTATAACTTTTCTTGTGGAGATGACTTCTTACTCTTATCAATTTGTAAAACCAGTAATGTAAACATATATGTGATATTGAATTTTGAAGGCACTGTCAAAACTCGTGTCAGTCTGTGGCCCTTACCATCGAATGACTGCGGGAGCGTACAGTCTTCTGGCTGTAGTTCTCTACCATACTGGGGATTTTAATCAGGTACGAGCTTTAATATGTTTTAGAACTTCTATACATCCACTGAATGCCAAACAATAAGTAGCAGCAGCATGTATCTTGTTATTTAAACTTTCGGGAAACTCAAGATAGTGGAATTTATAGTTAATGTCTTCTTTGTCTTTCTCAAAATGATTTGAACATCAATTTTCTCCTTTTTTAATTGGTTTGGTTTGTTTGGCATGTTGATGATCACATGTTTAATAATGAGCACAATTTTGCTCAGTTTTGTTATACGTGGAAGAAGGACTATCTTGTCACTTGGCTTTTCTACATATATCAAGGATATTGAATTTTCTTTGCATAAACAAATGGATTCAAGATGATAAGCAAAAGAAATAATAGAAGGATACAAATTAAACTCTGAGAAAGAAGAATAGTTGGGAGTTAAGTTTGGTTAGAAATCTTAATACATGTTTAGTTGTCATGGATACCTCACCTCGTGATGCCTGTCTTGACATGATACTCTGAGTTTGACTTTGAAAAAGATCTAAGCGTAGCTATGAGTCCTAAAGAGCTTGAATATAAACAGTTTAGAGTGTTTACAGTATGTAAAAGAACAAGATTGCTATTTGATTCCTGAAGGTTTGGTAAATACTTTATGCTTTTATGTGATTGATATTTTTATTATGAGGTTAATGTGTTTCATTGTGCAATTACCAAAAATCAAGAACCTCCGAGTTCTATACTGATCTCTAATACTCTATCTATAGTTCTATACTGGTGTGCGTTTCCATGTTCTTCATTAGGTATTTTGTGTTGTTTATGGAGAATCACAATTAGATAAAGGGAGAATTCACTCCCATACTTCTTTACATGATTATCCTAGCTACTGCGGGGGGGGATTTGAAACAGTAATATAAATAAAGAAGACAACTTGAATGAAGTCCATGAAATCCAAAAGGAGAGAGCAATTAAAGTTCGAAATTCTTTTGTATCTTAAGTACAATCTGAATCGAGTAAAGTAGCAGTTTCACATGTGAGGTAAAACTTGTAAAGGGAGCAGTTTCCATAACAAATAGGGTATGCTGTACTTTTTTTGAAGTAGTACCTTCAAGATTCAAGATTCAAGCGCACCATTACATGTTTTAATATATTTCTGCTTGTCATCTAATTGGTGTAGTGATTTTCTGTTCTGACCTCCTCCACTTTATTTAGGCTACCATTTATCAACAAAAAGCATTGGATATTAATGAGAGGGAGCTTGGACTTGATCATCCTGATACAATGAAAAGTTACGGGGATCTGGCTGTCTTTTACTATCGTCTTCAACATACGGAATTGGCCTTGAAGTACGTTTTCATATTTTCCTAACCAAAAAATAATTTTCTACCTCACTCTGGTCCCACAATGGCTATCCTCTCTACTTTTTCATAGCTTTATGTGGTGCTATGGGCTACTGTATGGTGCTATGTGATGAGTATAAAATTTTATTGAGGTTCTTAGCGTGTAGAATTCAAGCTTGTCTCACTTTATTCACTGGTAGGACAATAGATAAACTCCTTAGTTAAAGGCAAGAGGGACTTCTATCTATTTAAATCGTGGAAAGAAAATATAATTGTCAAATAAAAGATCATGTTATTTGGGGCTTCCATTATTCCTTACTAGTTAAAATTAATTATCTCATAGGAGGTTTCTGAAATGCTCTCAAGGAAAACCAAAACACCAACATCGAGACAAATAGCTTTCACATCAAAAAGGGGGTCTTAGAAAGGAATTTTAGGAATTTTTCACACACACTGTGCTGGAAAAACAAAGAATCTGATGCCAACCTGTGATAAAATAAAATAAAATTATGGTGCTGGAGTGGGGCAGGCAGTATATCTATAAGAATGAAATATAGTTAATTCTTTCAGGAGTTATAACCAGTATCAAGGGAAATGCCCTAATGGCTACCTTTTTGCTTTTCCAGGTATGTCAATCGTGCACTATATCTTTTGCATCTAACGTGCGGGCCATCTCATCCAAATACTGCTGCGACGTATATCAATGTAGCAATGATGGAAGAAGGATTAGGGAACGTGCATGTTGCTCTTAGGTACCTTCACGAGGCTCTAAAGTGTAACCAGAGACTTCTTGGAGCGGATCATATACAGGCAAGTTCTTTCCTCCTCTCCTCTCTCAATAAGAAAACTTTAACAGTTTGGTTATTCATACAGCCTTCAATCAGAAGCAAAAAATAGAAAATAGTAATTATATACTACAAAATCTGAAATGCATAATCATCCTCTCCAATTTGTACTATACACACCAGTTACTGTTGGCAAGCCAGCTCTTCCTTATATTGGCTGCTTCTTACTTTTTGGCTGACTTTCAAGGCTTGGTCAAGAAAATGTTTGTTTTCCTTATACAGCATAAGTTATTATGGTCTTTCTTCCGTGATTTACAGATAGCCTTCACTACTCAAAATAATTAATACCTAGAAAATGAAACAAGAAGGTTAAACTGATTCAATAGTTGTGTTAAAAATGTTAAGGGCCTGACTAGAGTTAGAATTTCAATAAATGATATTACCATCATTGAACTCGCTATTCTCTCAACTTTGATATCCTTGGTTGATTTGGATATCTTTAGACGCAACCAAATTAAACAATCCAGAATTATAAAGTGGGGCAACTAGAAGGGCTGAGACTTGAGAGGCAGTAGTGGATCTATGACTAAAACAGATTTACTCGTTTGAAAAACCAATAACATTTCAAAAGGTATGTCTAGATTAAACATTGAATATACAAATCCAGAAATCCTGCCTCTTGAATCCAACCCCTTGCCAATTGTGTGTGTGCATGTATGCACATGTCCACTTTTTAATGAAGGTAATAGCTTGCATTGTCATGTCTTAACGCGTTTCTGGCTTCTTCAGACTGCTGCCAGCTACCATGCCATAGCAATTGCTCTGTCATTGATGGAAGTTTACTCCTTAAGTGTTCAGCATGAACAGACTACTCTGCAAATACTGCAGGCCAAACTTGGACCTGAGGATCTACGCACTCAGGTAGTATGAAGTTTAATATTTCAATTTTCAATAGTCAAATCTCATATTTTCCTGTGATTCTTGTTCCTTATATCTGTACACGATGGCTTTTACAGGATGCAGCTGCATGGCTTGAATATTTTGAGTCAAAGGCTCTGGAGCAGCAAGAAGCCGCGCGCAACGGTACTCCAAAGCCAGATGCCTCGATCTCCAGTAAAGGTCATTTAAGGTAACAATCAGCAGACATCTAATATTCTCTTTATAATGGTCCATGGTAGCAAGTTTTCTTTTCTTTTTGTACTGAATTCCTTGATATCATGTGTTAATAACAACTCTATGCAATATTTTCTTGTATTGGATCAGTGTATCAGATCTTTTGGATTATATAACACCAGATGCAGATATGAAAGCAAGAGAAGCACAAAAGAAAGCTCGTGCAAAGGTCATAAACTCTTGTACCTGCATATTTTTGCTTATGCTACTGATATTAACTTTTCTCTTTTCTGAAATAATGGCTGAAGTTTTCTTTTCATCATGCAGGTTAAAGGCAAACCAGGCCAAAATGGGGAGACAGTCTCGGATGAATACCAGAAGGATGAAATATTGTCACCAACTTATCCAATTGCTGAAAATTCAAGTGATAAGGAAAACAAATCTGAAACTCAATTTGCAGAGCCTGGGAATGAAAAATCTGATTCTGGTCTTCCAGATCAGTCATTGTTGAAGACTGATGATAAGACCCAAGAGGAAGACTCAGATGAAGGATGGCAAGAAGCTGTTCCTAAAGGTCGTTCACCTACAAGTCGCAAATCTTCTGGTTCAAGGAGGCCAAGCCTAGCCAAATTGAATACTAACTTCATGAATTTACCCCAGTCATCAAGATTCCGAGGAAAGCCTAACCATTTTGCATCCCCTAAAACATCACCGAATGATCCTGCAGCTTCCACTGGACTGACAGTTCCTGTTCCTAAAAAGTTTGTCAAGAGTGCCAGCTTCAGTACAAAAGTAAATAATTCTGGTGCCTCCACTGGTGGAGCAGAGAAATCAAGTATCCCTAAATCAGCCCCAGCTACCCCTGCCTCAACTGAGCAAGTTGCCAAAGCAGCCCCAACAGCAAGTCCAATCAGCGTGCAGTCAGCTGGAAAAATCTTTTCCTATAAAGAAGTTGCTTTGGCTCCTCCTGGGACAATTGTGAAAGCAGTAGCAGAACAGTTGCCGAAAGGAAATCTTCCAATGGGACCAAGTAGTCAGGGTAGCAATGAGACATCTGCAACTGATGTCACATCAGGAGAGGTGACAACATTAAAAGCTGCAGAGGTAGAAAACTTTCTGAAACCTGAAGCAGTGAAACATCTTCCAGCTTCAGAGGGAATGAAAAGTCATGTCGATCAAAAGAAAGAAACAGAAGTACGGGGTTTGGTGGCGACAGAGCAACTCGAAGGAAAGAAGTCTGCTGTTGAGGATCGCACTGATAAAGAGGACAATGGTGCTGAAATTAAAATAGTTGCTGTTAAAGTTAATACCTCAGAAGCTGGAAATATTTCATTCTCGGGTAATGAGAATTTGGATACTTCCAAGGATTCAAATACCATCTCTTCCCCAACTGAAGTGCCAGAAACACGAGTATCAGATGGTTTCCCAGCAGCTTCCCCTGATATGGAACCTCAATCTACTTCAACTGAAAATTCTGGTTTGATGGAAAAAGATGCTTCAATCTCAAATGAAGAGGTAGAAGATGTGAATACTCTGGATCCATCTAGTGACAATACAAATGCTAAGGCATTGTCGACTGAAGGAGGAAAGCAAGACGAAACAGAAACTGGTAAGGAGACAACCAAGAAACTTTCTGCGGCTGCACCACCATTTAACCCATCCACAATTCCAGTTTTTGGCTCAGTTACCATTCCAGGATTCAAAGATCATGGAGGACTTCTTCCTTCACCAGTGAATATTCCTCCAATGCTTAATGTCAATCCTGTTCGCAGATCACCTCATCAGTCAGTAACAGCTAGGGTTCCATATGGTCCGAGGCTGTCTGGTGGTTTTAACAGATCTGGAAATCGCATCCCTCGTAACAAGCCGACCTTCAACAATGGTGAGCATACAGGGGATGGGAATCATTTCAGCCCTCCTAGAATAATGAACCCACATGCTGCTGAATTTGTGCCTGGCCAACCTTGGGTTCCCGATGGCTATTCAATGCTGCAAAATGGTTATATGGCTACCACGAATGGTATGCCAGTATCTCCAAATGGCTTCCCCATTTCCCCAACCAGTGTTCCCGTGTCACCAAATGGTTATCCAGCATTATTGAACGGTATTCAAGCAACTCAAAATGAATTTCCAGCCTCTCCAGTCAGTTCAGTAGAGACACCCATGTTAGTTTCTGTTGATGTTCGGGTTGAAAACAAGAGTGAAGTTGAAGCAGAGAATGGTGTTGAAACTTCTGCAATTGAAGTAGGAGTTGAAAACCAGTCAGGTGAGAAAGAACATCAAGAAGAAGATGTGAATCCCGAAATAGAAGAAAATCCTGCCGAGCTCCCAGAGACTAGTGGTACTGTTGTAGCAATAGAAACTTGTGATAGCTTGCCAATTGAGAAGAAACCAAGCAAGTGTTGGGCGGATTACAGCGATAATGAAGCTGATATTGTTGAGGTTGCAAGTTGAAAAATATCCTGAACTTTTCAAAGTTGGAAACTGGAAAGAAATCTGCTTGAGACTCAGGATGTGTGGCAATGAAAGAGACGAGAGAAACAATAAGCAACAACTGAAGGCCCCTGTAATGAGTGGGGAAGAGCAATGTTGCCGAGTCTGACATAATCATCTGTCTCGGGAATGTGTATATTTTCTGATAACGTTTGGTTTTATTGCAGCGAGGGAAGAGGGAGAATCGGTCTGATAGACTGGCATGTGAAAGACATACCATGACCATTGAACGATCTCAGTTATTTTGAGGAGAGCTCATGACACTTATTATAGTTTTTTTTTGGCTAATTTCCGTGTTATATCTTTTTGTTGGTTGTGAAATTCAAACACAATAACCTCGGAGGATTTATACTTTCCTGGATGTATCTTAGGGATGATAGATAGACACTATCAAAGTTCTTCAGAAATGAAGTTCCAAGTAACTTGCATGTGTTACAGTATCGCCCTAGATGTTATGTCTTGTTATGTCGTCCGATTATCATAATAGGATTCCTCACAAGTGCCTTAAGATCTTGCAGGAGATCAACACAAGTTAGTTTCTTAAAAAGTCATGGAAATGACTTGCCCAGCTGCAACGCTTATACATGTAATTATGTGTTCACGAAGTCGAATTGAATCGCTGTTCTCTGGTAAGGTAACTATTCTCTATTCTGAATAGAATTGAAGATACTTATTTATAATAATACAATGAAAGTCTTGCAACATGAGGGAGGAAATTCATGAAAAAACATGCTGTCAACAATTAGCTAGCTTAGTGCAAAATGCCTACATAACATGCGCGCAGGCTGGTGATCTCATCATAACTAGTGTGGCAGCAGAGTGAGAAAGTGCTGCTAGAACAATAAACACATGAAAAATCTGATGGCTGTGCCCTGCAATGTCAAATGCACCAATATTGGAGGGGTTGCAATAGAAGGTATAATAGACGGGAGCAAGGAATGAAGAAACTATCTCAAGGGAGATGCCAGCATAATCTAGGCGCCAAAAGAACAAATTGTAACGTTTGGAATGGCAAGCAAGGAGGTGAGAGAGGGAGCTGCAGACCAGGCACACCATCGTCCCAGATAAGAAAACGAACCATGATCATCTAGGAATACCATCACCAGAACCATCCTGTTCATGGAGGACTGATTGCTCTGAACCGTGCCTCATCAAGTCCGAATCCTGGAAACAAGCATTCAAAAATAGAGTACCGCACACTGAACAAATTTAAAGAAAAAAACATATAAAGGCCTGGAGTGTTGTAACATTGCATAATCTTTAAGGACTAAGTTTTTATTTTATCCTAAAATGAGAATTGAATAGCATAATAGTTAATAACTAGCCTTGTTGCGTGTTTCTCCCGCATGGCCGATTTTATTTTATTTTTTTATAAAAAATAATATTTAGGTATTAAAATGGCATTTAAAAAACATACAAAAGTGTTCATGATAAATGTATAATAACATTAATTAGAACTAAGTCAGTACAAGATATTTTATCAAACTTATAGCTTAAATTATGGAATTGGAACAATTCAATAAAAAAAATAAAAAGAAATATAAAGTTTTTTTTAAATATGTTAATTTTTTAAATTTGTAACCAAAATCATTAGACCTGAAATATCTTATTTAAAAAAAATCATGAAATTTAATTATCAATAAATTAAATATTAACAAATAAAATTAAAAAAAAAAAGAATTTCAGTCATATAAAAGGATTGAAAAAATATCAATTTAAAGAATGAGGATTAAAATCACTATTACTACTATTATTACTAATTAATTCATTATTGTTATTATTATTATTATTATTATCACTATCACTATTTCTATTATTATTATTATTATTGCTATTACTATTATCATTATTATCATCACAATCATTATAACCACAATAATTATTGCTAGCATTATCATTATTAATAACAACAATAACAATTATTAACATTATTATTAGTATTACTACTATTTTAATAAATATAACAACTATCATCATCACTACTGCTATTAATAACAACAATAACAATTATTAACATTATTATTAGTATTACTACTATTTTAATAAATATAACAACTATCATCATCACTACTGCTATTAATAACAACAATAACAATTATTAACATTATTATTAGTATTACTACTATTTTAATAAATATAACAACTATCATCATCACTACTGCTATTAATAACAACAATAACAATTATTAACATTATTATTAGTATTACTACTATTTTAATAAATATAACAACTATCATCATCACTACTGCTATTACTTTTATTGTCATCACTCCTCCTCTTCTTCTTACTATTATTATTATCACTAATGTTATAATCATAATTTTTAGTATTGCTATCATTATTACTATCACCATCACCACTATTATCATTATAATAAACCACCACCACCACCACCACCACTATTATTATTATTTATATAATTACTAATACTACTACTATTACCATCACTATTGTTACGATCACTACCATTATTATTATTATTATTATTTGAAGGATATTATTATAATAATAACTATTATTATTATTGTTGTTGAAAAAATAAAAACCTTGAACTTGATTTGAAGGATAGAATTGAAAATTATAAAAACATTGGCAAAAGAGCTAAGGAAAACAATAAGAAATAAAAAGAAAATGGGCCAATTTGAAATCATTATTATTCTCATTGAAAAAAAAATATAAACTTAATTTGAAGGATAAAATTGAAAGTAATAAAAACATTCACAAAAAAAAAATTAAAAGTAGAAGGATCAAATCAAGACATATTATATATACAAATTAGAAACCAAGGGTTAGATTAAAATCAAATAAAAATTCAACAAAAGACAAAACAAAAAAAATACAAAATTAAAATTAAAAAGACTGGATTTTAAATACCAATAAAAATGAGGACTATAATGTGTTTTTAGGGAAGGAGAGATAAACAAATGAGAAAAAAAGAAAGCATCACTGGTAATAAATCAACAATATTTAGACTACACACGCCACTTATTATGGAAAAGAAGTTAATGAGAAATAAAATGATACAGTGAAAGCCCATTTTTTACAACTACGAGCATTCCCACATGCTACCTCAAATACATAAAAGCTCCTATGTGCCATTAACTTTTCCCAATTAAAAAAATATAATTTGAATGCTAAATATATCACCATTGTAAACTAAACTAACAATTAACAAAAAAAAAAAACGAGAGAGAGAAAGACCTCAATACCCCTAATCCCAATGAATTAAATTTCTTGGATGTAAGGGTTCACGTGTAATTGTAATGTATATTAAAAAAAACATACATAAATACTTCTATTTGAAACAATTGATTTTTTTTTTACTCATAGGGATATTTTGGTTATTTTAATGTTTATTAAAATGTTGAATAGATTAAAATACCCTAAAAAAATCATTAATGACTAATGTACCGTGTGAAAAAACCAAGACACCCCTGGTTCTAAGGCAACCAATTTTTTTAGCCAAGATCGTAGATGTCAATCAACTATTGTAGTGAATAGTGAAGTGTATGTTTTGTTAGTGTATATGTTTTGTAGCCAACTAGTTGGTTACACATGATATAAAATTTGTTCATGTAAATATATATAATTTATTAATACAAGGCTTATTTATATTTAACATTCATTAAATATTTTATTTATGAATTAAATATTTTATTAATGAATCTAGAGTAAAGATAAAGTCTTTGGAATAAAAATGTTTTGCAAAAGAAATTATGAAGTTATTATAATTATAGAATTTTTATTGCATCAGAGCATTGTTTCTAAAATATTCATATTCAATACTCTATTAAGAATAGATATTAATTAAAGCTGTTGAGAATTATAGATATTATGTTCTTTTATTTATGATAAAAAATAATTATTCTCATAAGTTAAGATATAAAGGATACCTATAACTAATTTGTAGGTATTTATCAGATAACATATTACTTATATGAGAATTTCTTATAGAGAAATCACATGTGTCTATGGATATACTCATATGATAGTTGTGTAAGTGATCCTTAGACTTGAGATTACTAAATGATCTTAGATAGTAATCCTTAGACTTGAGACTGATAGATATTATGTTCTTTTAATTATGAAATAAAATAATTTTTTTCATAAGTTAAGGTATAAGAAATATCTAGAATTAATTTGTAGATACTTAGTAGATGACATGTTCACGTAATTAACTAATTTGAGAATTTTTTATAGAGAAATCACATATGTCTATGGATATACTCATATAACGGTTGTATAAGTGATTTTTAGACTTGAGATTACTAAGTTATCTTATAAAGGGAATGTTATATTTAGATCTTACTACACATTGTTCTAATTAAGGGTAACAAATGAGCAGATATTAAGTATAACATGAACTATATGAAGGCATTTAAGTAATTAAGAGAGAATTTATCACCCTTTATGAATTATAAAAAATGTTTCATTTATTCTTAAATAATATTAATTGTAAATTCTTTCACAAGGTGGAATGAGATTTGTAAAAAACTTCAACTCTTATTCAAAGAATCAATGACTATGATATTAAGAACAAACATGATTTGAAATAATAAACACACTTCATGCTATAATATTTAAATCATAATATTTTTTTATGAAGGGATAATAATTACATTAAGTAATTAGCTATTAAAATATTAAGTCAATCCACTTTTGATTTTTTTAATATTTGGGGAATCATGATAGGTTGTTAAACATTGTACTTAATTTTTAAATATAAATCAATCAATTATTGAATTAACTATAAATTAATTAATTTAATCTAATTTTATTTAGAATTGTGATTTATATTTGATCCAACTTATTAGAAAACCTAATAGCCACACACATAAGAACAATTAGTTAGAAATTAAAATAGGATGATCAATCAAGTGTGATTTGATTATAAATAAGTTTTAGAAATTGAGGACTCAAGTGTAATTTATATAAAGAATTACAATTCTAAACCTAAAAAAATCAAATAGGAATTTAATTAAATAAATTTATAAAATTAGCCTAAAATAATATGTTTATTATTATTTAAGAGTTAAATTAATATTAATCTATTTATAGGGTTTTTAGATTTTCTTATAAATAGAAAATTATACTTTTTTTTCTTGGATAATAAAAATAATGGGTAGGATACAATACTTGAATACTTAAAACATAAAAAAAAAAATTAATACTCCAAGGTATATTAATTTCTCTTTCTTAGAATGACTTAGAAGATTTTTTTCTTTAGTAGTTTACATGGGTTATTATTAGAGGTCAAACATTTAAATAACTTGTGTTTTATAACAAATTAATCTTAAAACAATTATTCACAATATATTAAATATCTTATTTTTAAATAATTTTTATATAAAACCTAAATAACCTTAAATCTAAGTAATTTTTATATAAAAACTAAGCAATCCTAAATCTATGAATCGAGATATTTGAGACTCAAAAATAT